CCTGAGGATGGAGTTGGGGGATAACTGCTCCCCTGGCCTCACCAGGACACCCAGGGGCCAGAACGCCCCCCAGCCCACTTGGCTTGGCCAGGCCAGTGCCCAAAGGCCCCTTTACACGACGTGAGGCTATGCACCTCGCCACGTGAGTGGGCAGACCTGGGGTCCCGCTTTCTCCTGTCGTGCGTGATCTAAAGAACCTAAAGTGGTCAGACGCACAGCTCTCCGAGGGGCCAGGCCTCACTCAGAGTGTCTGTGAGGCCACAGCCATGTCCCCGTGGGCAAGGATGCCAGCCACGTTCCACACTGTTCTGAGTACAGTGGCTGTGTGTGGTGACCCCGTCCCCAGGCCAGGGCACATGCCTGCTCTGCACCACCTGCAGACTAAGCAGACACGTGTGTCAGATCCCCAGACCTAAGGACGTATCACGTCGGGAGTCACGGCCCAGAGGACCGCTTCGGGGTCTCAGTGACTTCAGAAGTGTGGAGCTCTGAGACCCCAGGTCTGAGGAATTACTCAATAGTGCCAGCATGGCTGACAAATGGTGACACTGGGCAGAGGGCCGCTAACGTGGCCAGGGTGCTGCTGGACAGGCATTTGTGAGCTGCAAGCCACTGCGAAGCTTGCGCTGTCCCCCGAGGCCAGGGGCCTGCCGCGGGCACACATGTCCCCAGCTGCATCTTCTAGCCACCAGTGCCAGTGGCTTGGACTCACCTAAGTACCGTGGGTAGAAGTAGTCCTGTGGGAGAGAGAGAGAGCGGGTTACTGGCAGGGCAGGCGGCAGCGGGTCCCAAGGCCTGGCCTTCTCCTGGGACAGACAGGGCCTGCGGGGGCGGCAGGGATAGCAGGTGGCCTCCAGCAGGCACCCAGAAGGCCGCATCCTAGCAGGGCACGAAGCCTGTGTCAGGAGAGAACCCGAGGCGGAGGCTGGGCCAGGCTTCCACACTGACCAGTGTTTGGGGTTCCGAGGGGGCGACACGACACTGCCGAGTGGCAGGGAGTCTCCCAGGACCTCTCGGCACTGGCCGGCACTGGGCCTCTGTGTGCTGGGATTGCAGAGTACACCATGCTGGAGGGCCATGCATGAAGCCCTTGGCTACCACGAGGGCACGCATGCATGCCTAGACGCTGACGCCCACCTCCTGAGGCCAGGCTGGGTAGGGGCTGGCTGCACCCCCTGCCTTCCTTCGTGCCCACCCAGGGCTGAGGCCGGCCAGTGGGCAGCCAGTCGTCAGGGTGAGCGCTCCAGGCTCGTCCGAGACCATGGCCGGCGGACGGCTGGCAGCCGCACCTGGCTCTCTGCATCG